GAGGGTCCACCAAGGGTCAGCCAGGAGTGTCACCAGGGCACTGGCTGAGAGGACAACACCCCCTGTGCCCTCCAACATTCTGGAGTCCTAAGCCCAGAGGAGCAGGGAGATGTGGGCTGTCAAAAGCCAGTCACGTCCACTAGAACACACTGGGGCTGTCCCCCCCTTGTCCCTCTCCTGCTGGGCCGAAGCTACTTGTGTATCCTGGGCATTCTGGGAAGGGGAGAGTTGGACAAGCAGCCTATAGGGACAGCCTTGCCTGCTGCTTGGGCAGCTGTCAGAAAGTGCAGATGCCCCAGTGCCTAGCTGGGGCACTTGACAGAGTTGCCACTCTCCCTGCCCAGCGGTCCCAGCAGCCTCCGGGCGGTGGGTGGAGTAGGCTGCACGGTCACAACAGGCTGAGGGGACTCCCAGGACGCCCGGGTCCTGCAGCCGGCACCGGGCCTGCTGTTCTTTTTCTGCGTTCCTCCCCAGAGCATAGCCTCTCCCCAGCTTACCTCGGGACGCGGCCAGGAAGAGAGCGAGGAGCAGGGGACCCCAGCGCCAGTTGCCGGCCTCGGGGGCCGGCGGGACGCTCATGTCTCCGTCGAGCGGAGCGGCGCCTGGCGCTGCCGGCGGGAACGGGGCAGCGGGCGCGTGGGGGATCTCGTGTAGCGCGGGGAGCGGGCAGGACGCGGCCGGCGCCTAGAGACCTCCAGCGAGTGAGTGCTTGGCACTGAGCACGGCGGGCCGCCCCAACGCGCCAGCTCAGGGCCTCCGCAGCGCCCCCGGGGGGCCGCAGGGCGCACTCCGCGGGAGGGGCTTCCCGGCCCAGTACGTCCGGACTCAGCTCTACTTGGTCGCTGGTTTATTTGTTTGTTTGTTTGTTTGTTTATGTCTTTATTTACTTTTTTATTTATTTGTGACAGAGTCTCACTATGTCGCCTTGGTAGACACAGCAACCTCAAACTCTTGGGCTCACAGCAACTTCCAGCTCTTGGGCTTAAGTGATTCTCTTGCCTCAGCCTCTCAAGTAGCTGGGACTACAGGTGCCTGCCACAACGCCCGACTATTTTTTATTGAAGTTGTCATTGTTGGTTAGCTGGCCCCGGGCCGGGCTGGAATTGCCAGACTCAGTGTATGTGACTGGCACCCTACTCACTGAGTAGGAACTCCAAGCCCTTTGTGGCAGGTTTAAAGCGTTTTCGTAGCTCAGTGAGTAGGACGCCAGCCACATACTGACAGGTTCTAGCCTGGCCTGGGCCTGCTAAACAACAATGACAACTGCAACAAAAAAATATCCAGGCATTGTGGCAGGTGCCTGTAGTCCCAGCTACTTGGGAAGCTGAGGCAAGAGAATTTGCTTAAGCCCAAGAGTTGGAGGTTGCTGTGAGCTGTGACGCCACCACACTCTACTGAGGGCAACATGTGAGACTGTCTCAGAGAAAGAAAAGAAAAAGCCTTTTCTACTACCCCGCAGTCATTTTTGGAAAGAATTATTTTTGTGCAGCCTAAGAAGTAGATCTGTGTCTAACATGCTCGGCACATGTTATTATATTTTGTATCTGCTCTCACCCACCAACCTTTGAGTGGTCTGGGGGAAGGGACTTGTACCCTGTATCCTCCAGCCAGCCCAGGGCTTAGAGGACACTGGGCCCTCTTCCCATCTTCCTTGTTGTGGAATGAATGAATGAATGGATGGATGGAATTTGACATTGTGAATCTCTGACAAGTTGGAGCCAGCTTTACTAAACATTCAAAGCCTGAGATACCCTTGCACACACACAGAGAGAACAGGTCAGTGCAGGAGTACACAACAGGCTCAGCACATCCCTATCCTGGGACACACGCACACACATATGTATGTACAACATCTGCTGGTACAGCTCAGTCACCCCTAAGGCTTTGCCCCAACTCTTATTCCCTGATGCCCTAGATACCCAAGGGATACTCTCAGACACCCCACACAGTACTGCCAGCACCACTGGTGATATCTCTTCTCTTCTCTCCAGATTCTTCTCATCCTCCAGGGCTCAG